ACACACACACACACACACACACACACACACACAATCAGTTTTATATATGTTGTTCTTTCTTCTGTTGTCTGTCTTTCCTTTGATTTTTTCTGAAGTTATTTTTGTGTGCCCAACCGAGCACCCTTAAGTAGTGCCAAACAGTCGGTGGTTCCTCGTTTGGAGTGCCTACTGCACTCTTATGGGGGCTGCTCGGTTCGGGATGTCTGTGTTGCCTGTCAGTGATGACGGGTGTTCGTCGGAGTGACTCCCTGGCTCAGTGGGTGGTGGGAACCAACAGTCTGCGGGGTTCAATCGTGATGTGAGTAGGTCATGTGCTGCTCTGCTCCGTGTTGGATGTGTGGACGTCCTCGTCTGCGGCCTGTCCCGCTTGCTTCGCGTGTGGTTCTTTGCGGGTTGATGTGTTCGCTGTGCGGTGTGGCCGTGTTGTTGGTGTTGCCTTGCGCTCTGCTGCTCCGCTGCCGTGCTGCTCATCCGTTGGCCGTGCCTTCCGTGCTCGACGCTTGTGTGCCCTGTAGGTTGGTTGCCTTGTTGCTGGTGCCTTGTGCTCCACTCCACGGTTGCCCAGCTGCTGGGTCACTCGCCCTGTCGTCCCCTGCAGTGCTGTTGCCTTGCTTGTGTTGCCATGTGCTTCACTACACGGCTGCCGCGCTGCGTGCCATGTCGTTCCTTGCAGTCGTTTTTGGCGTTGTGCAGCCGTGTTGCCTCTACTGTGTTGCCTGGTGCTTCACAGGGTTGCTGGCCGATGCTATGTTCCTCTTGGGGACAGTCTGCCTTCAACAAGGGTCAAAGGGTTCATGACCCAAACCATCAAATACGGGGATTTCGCAGATTGTCGAGGGTTCAGCCTCCTGATGAGTCGGTGCAACTCCGACGAAACAATCTTTCATCTTTTGTTTTTTTTTCGCTTTTTTTTTTTTGTGCTGTTTGTTCTTTTGTCTGCCTTGTTGCCTTGTTGCCCCTACCTCATTCTTCTGCCTAGTGCTGTTTGTCTGCCCGCCCGCCTCCCCCTTGCCCTCCACCCTTTGTTCTCTGTTGCAGTGTGTCATCCAAGTACTGACCTCAGCCTTGCCATTTTGTTTGTCTTGTTGTACTTGTCTTACCGCTGGTTGGTTCGTTTTTCGTTTTACGACTATTGAAAGCCGGGCTTTATAATCATTCTTTTCTATGGGCATCCCTGGCTGCGGGCTCTTTCCCGGTGTTGTTTATAAGCACACTCTTCAGCACAACATGCTGTGACGCGGTCGCAGAAGCCATGCAATGCATAACACACACACAC